CCCCTCCCCTCCGCGCGCCGCCCCTTCGCGCTCCCACGCACCGCCTGCTCAGCCGGACTCCGTCCGCCCCTTCGTGGGGGGCAGGCAGAAGGCATCGTCCACGTCCGCGCTCTGTGCCCCTTGCTGACCTTTCCCACACTGAAGAACGCCTGGACCTCACGTGCCAGACCCTGCGCATTTCACCAAGGAGTTCCTACACCTCGCCACTCCCACTCGGGGTATCGTCCTTTCCTCTTCCACCAAAGACAAGACGCACATCGGGACACGGCTTTTGCTGGTTATCTCTGTTCGACCCTCAGCCTGAAATGCATCTGGCACCTCCTGCATCCCTGAGGAAGACCCTACATGGATTTACCACGCTGACTGCCCTCACTCAGACAAAATGTTCCTCTTTCTCTCACATTTAACAGAGGAGATGAGAAAGGTGGGTTTAAAATGGTACATCGGCAGCTGGGCGTGGTCGAATGTGCTTGTAATCCCAGTACTTAGAGGCTGAGGCAGGAGGATCACTTCAAGTTCTAGGCCAGGCTGGGCTATATGGTGAGTTCACGGCCAGCCTGAACTGGATAGTCAGACTCTGGCTCAAAAAGCCAAAAACAATAAGTAAATAAATAAAGTGGTAAATTATGACAAGATTCATGAAATCACCCAAAGACTGGACAAAAATCCAGTGGCTTTCATGAGAGATTTACTGAGGCCATTTTAAAATACAACAATCTAGGTCTCCATTCAGAGCCAGGAAAGTGATACCTACACACACTTTAATTCCCATCCACAATGTCAGATATAAAGAAAGGCAGCCAGCTGTGGTGGCGCATGCCTGTAAACTCAGGAGGCTGAGGCAGGAGGATCACCAAGAATTCAAGGCCAGGCTGGGCTATATAGTGAGTTCAAGGCAAGTGTGAACTGCAGAGACCCACCAAGGCCCCAGGGGGGGCACACATGCTGGCCCAGCCCAGGCAGGACCCTCAGCAACCCAGCAAGGGTCCCGCATGGTGGGCAGGCGGGAGCAGCTGTGAGAAAGTCTGAAGCAGCAGTGAGAATATGAGCCAGCAGTTGGTCGGTTAGGTGAGCCAGTGCTGTGCTTTGGCACGCAGACACTGACTGAATAGAAGCAGGTGGGTGGGGGCCGCCCTTTTCTCTTTATCACAGGGCTTGGGGAGAACTCCAGCAGACGACCATGCCCAGCCCCACATCCATAGGCCAAGACCGGCTCCACACCCTGCACAGATCCCACTGTAACCTTGGCTGCCGGGCACAGCACATTTCTGATCTGACTCGATGTATCATAGAACTGCCAACACCGGAGGAATTTTACTAGTTTTATTTTCTCTGCTTGTCTGATTGGTTTTCCTTTTTCTCTCTGGTTGGAGTTTTTTTGTGTGTGTGGTTATTTTTGTTTTTTCTCTGCTTTTTTTCCTTCTTTTGTGACTCAGATTTCTCACCTTTTCGTTTTCTTCTACTCATCTTTTCTCTTTCATCACCTATCTCGCTTGATTTTGTGATACTTTCATGTGAGCAGACATTGCCTCTTCTCTTTCGGGTTCACTCCCATGTTCCTCTGTGATCTCCATTCTTTCCCTTCTGTGTCTGCCAGTTTCCCACAATTTGGGTGACCCTCCTTTGCGCCCCAGCCTTGCTCCTGCTCTACTGGACCTAATTCATCTCTCCACCTTTCCCCCATCCTTAGCCCTTCCCTCAACAACAGGGTCACATCACTCCAGTAAGGGGGAATCACTACATGCAAGTTCCTGGTATATGTTGGATTTTGTTATATAAATGTAGAATTTACTCCTATTGTTAAAGGTATCAGGTCAATAGTTACTTACCACAGTTAGTAGTCAGGCTGTGTTTGAGACTATGGTTATTGCTAACTGCACTACTTTAGCCAGGATGGCATATCTGTTATAATCAGTTTTTCTCCCTTGTATGACAACACTTTGACTTTATGGGGTTATAACCATCACCATGGTCCAGTACCAAAGGACTGGGTGCTGAGCCAAATAGATAGAAAATTCTTATTCTTAGTACATTGGGAAGGTAGGTTCTTGGGGTAGACACAAAGATCAAGAACCACCTACATCTGCAGGCATGGTTGCCCATACCTGTAATCCCAGCATTCAGGAGACTGAGGCAGAAGGATTGTTGTGAATTTGAGGCCAGCCTGGGCTACAAAGTGAGTTCAAGGCAGGCTAGGACTACATAGTGAGACTCTATCTCAAAAAGACAAAAATAAATAAAGACAGAAAGAAAAGAAAAGAAGAAACACCTACATTTAGAAGACATTCCTGAGGGTCAGACATTTCCTAGAGAAGCCACAATACTAAGGATAAAGCTATCTACCATAATAAATCTACAAGCATGAATGCAGAAAACAAAATAAAATAAAAAACAAAAAAATTACTAGATACAGAAGCAAAATGCAATCCCAGATCCCAAGCCCACCCAGGACAAGTCCAGAGCACAATGAGATAGATGAAATTAGAAGCCACCTACTGGAACTTTCTGAAATGATAGCAACAGAAGTGAAAAAATAAATGGAAGAGGCTATAGAAAAAAAAAAATCTCTAAGGTGCAAAAAGAAATGATGATCAAGATGAAAGACATTAAAGCAAACACAGATAAAAAAATAGAGGAGCTCAGGAAGATGATGGAAACCATAAATGCCCAACATAGAAAAGAAATGGAATCCATGAAGCAGATCCAAACAGAAATCTAGGAGATAAAAAACTCCACTGAAAGTGTATGTGATGGATTGAATGAAAATGAGGATAAAATATCATATCTAGAAGACAAGATTGTGGCTAGTGACCAGGAGAAGAAAGATATCTTAAAAATAGCAAGAGACCTTGAAAAACCAATCCAACAGCTACAAGATGAAGCAGACAAAAACAACATAAGATTGGAGTCTGTGAGAAAGCTGGAGACAGTGAGAAAGCCATTAAAAAACTTCCTCACAGAAGTAATAGCAGACAGCTTTCCAAACATCAGTAAAGAATTTGACATAGAAATCAGTGAAGCATATAGACCTCCAAATAGCCATGAACAAAATAAATCTACACCAAGGCATAAAATAATCAAGATGCAGTTCAGCACAAGTACAGAATGTTAAAATTGGCTAGAGAAAAGAAACAAATTACCTGTAAATGAAAGCCCATCAGAATCACAGCAGACTTCTCAACACAAACCCTTAAGGAGAGCTTGTAGTCAATATGGAAGTATTAATAATTGTTATTCTCCTATTTTGTTTTGAAATTTTGATTGATTTTTCCATAAAAGAAAAGAAAGGAAGAAAGAAAAGATCTAAAATTTGGGAGATGGGCCACATATCAAGAAAACCTTATTTATACAACCTCCCAAGGTCTTTAATAATAGCAATGATGATATTTTTTTAAAAAACAGAATAAATATGAGCCACTGGCATCTGCCCCTGTGGGCATTCAGAGAAAAAGGCAAAACCTCAACAAGGTTTCCTCACGAATGTTTTAAGCAGGGGCTCAGGGCAGTCTTCATCTGGACACAGGAGCAAGACAGTCAGCTCTGTGGGAACATACGAGGCCTTTAGCTCCTTCCTGTGTCTCTTAGGGAGGTCGGTGGCCAAACCACGGTGTCTCATACCTCTGCCTTAGACCTTAGGAACAGCTTTAACACATTTCTCTCCAGGACTGCCAACACATCCTGTTGGGGACCACGGATTATATATTGAGTCTAGGGCTGACCAAGGCCATCCTTGTGCTGCCCTTTGAGCCAGACTGGAACTCAGAAGCTCGCTGCTTTCTTCTGGTCACAGTTGAAGTCCTGCAGCTAGTGGTGCTGTGCGCTCACAGGGTAGGAGGACGATAAGGATCTTTAAGACAATGTGGTGCCAGTAGGAAATAGTTTTCCCTGCAGACACTACGGTCTCCTTATTGCCCCTGTCTCGTCCCTGCCAGAATGCTTGTTCTTCTTCCTGGCCCACTGTAGTCGGCTGTACTGCTCCCCAGAACACTGCCTTCGCCCATTGCCCTTGACACAGACGTGATCAATAAATACCGAGGTCTGGCTCCCCGTGAGCAGCTGGCCACCCTAGTTCCCTGCTGCATTCCCGTTTTGTCTCTTGCTGTTACTTTTTGCTCTGCCTCCCTGCCTGCCGTCCCCTTAGTGCCTAACCGACACAGTATTTCCGCAGTACCACCAGACACCTCTCATTCACAGTTTATGAGCTTAAAATGCTTTCATTGCTATTCCTCTTGACCCCAGTTCTCAAAATCTTTTAACCTTTATTTTGACAGATCCCAACTCATTTGAGTGATTCTTCCTCAGGGATTCTGTGACAGTTCACACATTTTTGGACAGGCATTAACCTAAGACCTCCTGTCTCTTTCCCTAAACCTGATCCAATATGTTCGTGACCTTCACTGTACAGCTTCCTCTAAATCTATGCACAACACACTGTTCAATTACTTAACTTCGCAGCAGCAAAAGGATATTGGGGATCTCCAGACAAGAGCCAGTCCTTTCAGGCTGAGGTCGCTTACTTTAGACTTCACACCAGCCCCTCTCCTAAGGGAACCAAACAAGACTACAGAACTCACCACTCGGATTCTCTCTGCACAATCAAATCTGATCTCTCCGCTTGGGGGGTTGCTACTTACGCACTTTTGACTGTAGACCCCAAACTTTGGGTTCATAACTAAACCCTTATATGAAGCTACCTTGAGAGATCCAGCCACTCTCTCCTCTCCTCCTCTCTCTTCTGCTTTGAACCAACTCAAATGGGCCCTCACCTCTGTACTGGCTCTTAATCTCCTCAGCCTGATAAATCTTTCCACTTACCTATGGATGCCAAAAAGGAATTCACCCCAGGGCTCCTAGCTCAACTTCTTGGCCCAGAAATGCAACTTACAGCATACTTCTCAAAACAGTTGGGCAAGAAGGTTCTGGGGTCCAGGCTACCTCTGCGTTTTGGCAGAAGTAGTCCTCCTAATTGTACAAAGCCCTAGGCTTGTTCTATTCCAATATCTTACAGAGACAGTGCTAAATGTCCTAGTTTTTCTCAAGGACGTTAATATCTCAGGGCACCAACATTATGCTTTCTGTTTTATAATAATTTTTGCCTTTATCTGGACAGATCACAGCACCCAAAACTCTCAAATCATTTGAACCTTTCTTCCAATGGGCTAATTTGGAACAATTTTGTTTAGTCTTTAGCAAAACAAAATTAAGAGACTTAATTTGGTCTCAGACCTTAGGCCTTTGGTTTGGTTTCTACATATCACTAAACTGTAACAGTGATAATTTACATTTATATCTTTAGTCTTAAAGGAAATGTTTTAGCCCCAGAGGACGTAACTAAATTGGTACCACTGGTAATTGGGTTCTGCAATTTAAAAGACAGAATAATTCTCTAGTGTGGTGATCCCCACTGAAGTCTGCATGTGAGTT